TGAGGGGTCCCTACAGGACAAGGACCATCATTGATGTTGTCAACGTTTTGGAACCCCATAGTATTTGTACCCCTCCCTACTCCTTAAAAGCCACGTATAGTGTGAGACGGCCCCCGTAGGATCAGCAGCTGGGCGTCGTAACGCGACGATACGCGCAAAGAAAACGCATGAATACGAAAATAAAATTGCAAATTTAATGCGTTATTGAAGCGTTTCTGAATATTTTCCAAAAGTATTTTCATGCACCTCTGTGTTAGTGCGGTACCGCGGGCCGGCCCGTAAGGCCCCGTGGACAGTGGCGATATGGCGATAGGCAAGCCTAAATGCCAGGGTTGGCATGAAGAATTAAATGGTGCTAAATGGGGCGAAAAGGGGCAGAATGTAATACAGCTGGGGACACCTACCGACTACAAAACACTACTACAAAATTCGCAGTCGACGGCTTCATGAGCGTGAGCTAGGTCGGGCATCGGCTGACGCTAATGGCACTGTAGTGTGACGTGAAGTGCTAAATTTTTTGACCGAATATGACTCAATTTAGATTTAATTTAATACTCTATGCCAACCCTGCTAAATGCAAGCCCGCCCGCACTCGTGCAAAGCGGCGCTGCGACGAGCCGCCGTGGAGCTAGGCAACCCAACTGACGCGGGAGCGGGGTGGGCCAGCGGCACGCGCCTGCATCCGCCAGTCCTTGACGGAGTGGGATGCAGTCTTCCACCCCGACGCCGCCAGGGGACTGCACCAGGACTCCACCGTGCCGCGGTGAAAGGGCCTAGGCCTAGTGATAGGACAGTCAGCTGGGACGGCCTCGTGGTGTCCCCGAGGTTACTTCAAGTTACGTGAGTTATCATCCCCATGTTGCCTGGCAGATGCACATGTGTGCTACCACAGAGACCCCTGCCTGCCTCTTATTCTTATTGCGATGTCCGCCTATGCGGCGAATTAAAAACCAAGAACCAAACAAAGATTTTTTAATGAACATGCCTACATGCTATGTTGGAAATATTTTAGCAAGGCTAAAGTCGCTACTATACGGTCGCTGTGGTAAAAGAAGAGACAGTGGCCGTCCGCCTTATCCCCAGCACATTTGCGTTGAACTGTCAGTATCTAGTCAGACGCGTTCCGCTCTAAGTAGAAGAAAATAAACTATCAAAATGCAACAGATTTTTTTTTATTTGTTAGTATCTCATTAAATAATAAA